CAGTGGCAGCCTCTACGCCATCAGCCGTGTCCGCAGCTTCAACACGCAGCAGGTCGTCAGCATAAGCAGAAGTTGAAAGGTCAATGACCGAATCCTCGTAAGAGACACGAGTCAGACAGGCTTCAGGCGTGGTGCGTTGCTGCCAGTCGCCAACAACAGTGTCGTAAACCCTGCGGAACAGTCGAGGTCCTGTCCCTCCGCCTTGCAAAACACCATCTTGAACATGAACATGCAGGCAGCCACCTGAAGAGAGCGGAAGGTGTATCAGTAGTCTCTGTTGCATGTCCTCCAGCATAGCAACGATCGTGGGGGAGAACGGCTGGTGTTGATGCAGATCTTGGAGAACACTTTGTGAGCTGAGCATGTCAAATGCCTTGGTAAGGTCATACAAGTTAGCAGCTGTGCACATACTGGCCATCCGCAGCCGTTGAAGCAAGTGGTGTCCGCATGTCTTTGAAAAGCCGCTTTATAGAAAGCTTTGCCCAATGGGTCCAGCAGGTTGATCACTCTCATGCCGTTTGGCGTAGGATCGCCACCAGGTTTCGGAATGGGGCAGATGTGCCGAAAGCCACAGGTCGTGTGATCCCGCCCCATAGCTTGAAAAAGCTCCAAATAAGGCATGATCAGTAAACCAGTCTGTCCTTGCATAATGAGGCTCCACAGCTCAATCGACAAGGAACCCCGTGGTGTAGCGCGGTCGTGTGGCATGCGCCGCGCAGCCACAGCAATGCTGTTGCAGCCCTCCGCTCCCTCGAAAAAGATGCGGAAATCAGGAGCTGGATCAGGGGCGAAACCAGCACTACCCACACATTCTACAGCGTTTTGCACCTTTCGGAAATGCTGCAACCACGAAGCTTTGGAAATGCTTTTTGCAGGAGGTGGTTGTCGCTCACCATGTTTGCGAAAATTCCGCCCTGCAAGCTGTCTGCTGACGCTCCAAGCTTCACGATGGTTGTTTGCGCGCATCGCATCGCGCAAGTTGCATTCCAACTGGCGTTCCCAAACACGAAGATCATCTTTCACAGCTTGGCGAGCCTGCGCCATCAACTTGACCGTTCTCCAGCCCAACATAATGACGCGAAGAAGATGCGGAGCACGCTGGTTGAGACCTGCCGTTGTCAAGCACTGCCGGGCTTGCGTGTCGGCTTGTGTGGCGTCACGTGTCTGTTGCAACATTGCAAATGTCTTGGGCTGGATCTTGGAATTGCGTTGTTCCGGATGCTTCGAAAAATGCTTCATCGCGATTTCATGCAGGGTGTCATTCACAGACGTCCACTGCTCCTGCAAGGATTTGGTACTGGTGAACTCATCATGATGTCGCGAGAGCGAATCGGTTACATCCCGTAGAAAAGGAGCAGCGCATGCACTCAGCAGTGCTTGTCGGTTCCACTGCTGAGGAATACGCCGGGGGCGGCGCGGCGGCCAACCAGCCTTTAACCCAGCAAGCACTTCGACAGGATAATGGTCTGGTGTAGTCGATGTCTGCCAACGTCTGCCGAGCAGCTTATTCACATGACACAGCTTCAATCTCCGCCGGAAGGAATGCTGAATGGCTACGTAGTCGATACGATGAGAACTTTCTTGGTTGGCAGGCCACCACGTGCTGCCAGCGGGGTGGTAAGTGTTTGCCAAACAAAGCCCTGCACTGTCGCACAAGTCGTTGCAAGGACCCACGCTCCGGAAATGTGAATCTGGCCCAACATGTGCGTTGAAATCTCCCATCAACCAAGTGTTGGTTCGGCGCGGGAGCCCGTGCAAGAGCAGCTGCAACTCAGTGAAGAAGCAACTCAGTGAAGAAAAGCTGTCTGTCAATCTCACTTGCAGATTCCTGTGGCGCATATGCAGTAATGAACGTGTGATCAACAGGATGCTTATTGGCACGGTCAATGATACCGCCAATCCTGCCCGCCCAACGCTTAGCTGGATCTAAACGTTCAACAATGCGGCTCACCACAAACCTGTCGACGTGAAGAAGCAGCAACGTCCCTGCGTGCGGATTTTGTGCTCCTTTGCCCCACGAGATGCAATGATAAATCGGCTTCCCATTCCGAGTGTGCACCATCCACTCCGAGCGATGCGATTTGTTTTCCAACACGTGCCTTGTATCGCGGCTGCATGAATGCCCCGTGTGTGCAAATCCTCGGCGATCTCAACAAGTCGGGCACTCGAGATCCCAAGACTCCTGCAGTTGTATGTAAGCATTTGCAGAGTTCCGGCCCGACCATAAGACGAGACCGTCTTCTTCGGCGCAGTCGGCAAATGAACCTGATGATCGTTCCTTCGATACTGAAGCAGTGGATCTTGCTGGTGCCACCACTTGCGCTTGCTTGCAAACAGCGCGCACAGTTGCTATGGCTTCCTTCGGAAAATAAGGAGATAGGCGCGAGTCTAGCTGAATTAAGTGACCATGATATCTAGTCCATCCCTGCAGAAAGTAATGACGAAGTGCACGCCAAATGGAGCGTTTTCTAACCGAATCAGTGCGAGGATTGCCATGAATTTCATGTTGCTCTTGCATTGTCCTGGTCTGGGTGGGAGTCGCACCTCCCACCCACCCTCACTCCTGCCTGTCTGAAATCCTGTCCATGGCTGACGGCCCCCGGACTTGGGACCGGGGCTCAGTGCCTCAGCGCTACATCCTGATCCGGGAGGAGCTTGCTACCGAACAAGCAAACAAAGTAACCAAGTAAGTAACCAACTAAGTAACTGACTGACTGACTGACTGACTGACTGACTGACTGACTGACTGACTGACTGACTGACTGACTGACTGACTGACTGACTAACAAACCAACTATCTAGCGAACCAATGCATCATCGCACCAATGCGCCAACGCACCAGCGCAACAACGAGCCAACGAACCAACGAACCACCTTGAACCAACCAACCAGCCGGCCAGCCATCCAGCCAACCAACAGCGGAACCAGCGAAACAACGAGCCGACGAACCAACGAACCAACGAGCCAACGAAGCAAACCAGGAAGCAGGCAAGCAAGCAAGCAAGCCAGCGAGCGAGCAAGCGAGCAAGCAAGTAAGCAAGTAAGCAAGCAACGAGCCAACGAACGAACGAACTGACTGACCGACTGACTGACTAAGTAAACCAGGTAGTTAGTTAGTTTGATTGTTTGTTAGCCATTTAGTTCTTAAACTACAAAGGCATGTACTGGATGCGTGAGTTTAATCAAGAGAAGAAAAGAAAGGTGAAAGCGCCTGGAACATAATGATAGGCTCTCCAGGTCTGATTCTACCCGATGATCAATGAGAGTTTCTTGCTGTGCTTAACTGAAAGGAAACAAAAATGTTTCTTTCAGGTAGACATGACTTACTACTACTATCACAACCACCACCACCACGACTACTACTATACTACCACCACTACCCAGGGCTGGCGGACGGCCGACCCTGTGCTGGGTCCGTAGGGTTTCGGCGTAGGTTGCATGGCCAATGTCCCTAGGTTTCGGATGGATTGCCTGCAGCTCTTGGCCTCGGGGACATTTTTTTTTTTTGTTTGAGCCTGTGCGTGTGTGTGTGTGTGTGCGACCCATTAGCGCAACAAGATTGACCGTATGTTCGATTTAGGTAGTTAGTTAGTTGGTTTGTCAGTTCGTTCGGTCGGTTGGTAGATAGGTTAGTTAGCCAGTTAGTCAATTCCTTCAGTCGTCAAGTCTTTAATTTGTTAGTTTCGTAATTAGTTAACTAGTGTCTTAGTTATTTAGCTTTTTGGTTAATCATTCAAGCTTCTAAGTATTTGTCTGATGTATTGGATAATTACCAAACGTTTAGGGTAAAATGTAAAGCACTGACATGGGGAATCGATGAAAATGACATCCCTGGTATTGAATATTTTCGCCAAGTACAAGTTTGCGTACCAGGAGTATCTTTGGAGGGAAGCGATTACAGACACACGCGCAAAAGGCACATACATACGTACGTACATACACTCTTTCATACGTAGCCATATACATACATACCTACATGCATTCATACATACATACATACATACACAGATATAGGTGCATACATACATGCATACATACATACATACATACATACATACATACATACATACACACAGATATATGTGCATACGTACATGCATAGATACATACATACATACATACATACGTACGTACGTACGTACATACATACATACATACATACACATGTGCACACATACATGCATCACGCAGACGTGCAGACATGCATATATACACGACTTTATACACACACACACACGATACGTACCTGTCTTTTTACATTTCCGTCTCTCTCTGTCTCTCTACAATATGTGAAAACGGATGGTAGTGTCGCACCTGATCGTGACGGATACCTGCAATGATAGTACATGGTTGCAAGAGAAAGCTGTTAAGAGAAAGCTCTGGCTCAGGTCTAGGCGCAGGTAGAGAGTATTCCGAGGTGTTGGCTCAGAAAGGCTGCAGTAGATGGTTGGCCGCGTTTGACACTTCCGGGTTGCGTCGTGCACGGGTGACGCAATTTTGCATGAACTTGAAGGAATGGGACCGTGAAATGAAAAGCGTACGATGCCAAAGCCTCCTTACCCAACAATGCCTGGGTGGTTTCACCGAGCTGTTCCAAATCTGATGCCAAGCACATTCTGTGTGCTGCGCGGCTGCGTAGACTTGTTCGAGACGTCTACTCTGTCACTACCTTGAGGTCTCGAAAATCTCACCATAAACATGCCGAGCATGACTCTGCGTCGTTCTTCAGACATGACGAAGCGCTTTCTCTGTCAGGCTCCGGGCTGCAAGCCCGCGCAATCGTCGAGCAGACGTGCCATTCTCGCTTAACAGTAGCCGCTTCTCTCTGCCACATAGATTGGATTGGATACCCGATGCCAGACATGACGGCAGGTGCTCCATCGCAGCGCAATTTCAAAAAGGCTGCCACTGTGAGCCATGCTCCGTGCTCGGCTTGTGCCTGCCAAAGGGGTGTCATGGGCTTGACAGCGCTTCTCAGGCCGACCTCACAATGCGAACAAAGCGAGAAGTCAAAGAAGTGCAGGAGGTTATGTCAAGATCAGAAGTGGACGTTCAGCGCGATCCAGAGCTGTATAGTTTTCACATTTCCAGCCGGCACGTGCACTAGATTAGAGTACAGGCTGAAATCGTTGTGCAGACTGCAGGCAGATGCTTGAATGGGCTGCGACGGAGGCGGCTTGTGTGGCAGCCTGTTCTGAGGGCACCAGAAGCTTGTTCGATTCTAGCGAGGCCGCACGCACAAGACTTGTGGCAAGCCTCTCCAACGGCATTGCCCCTATCAGCAGCAAACACTCATGTAGCCATCACCATGTTCCTGTCCTCCTGCTGAAGGTGAAGCTCAGTACAGTGGCCGTCGAGCGCAGCAGCAGGCTTGGCAACATGCGGTAGCCGTACCTTGAGTAATATGACGCCACTGGCTGGAAAGGGCCGGCTGGCCAATCGTCTCCGAGCAGCGACCCTTGCGCGAGCCAGGCGACTGTGCTTTGGTGTTCGTCTGTGTGCTGCCAGTTCGTTGCAGGTGTATGCAGTCATGGGCTTGGTAAGTTAAAGCATTCCTGTAAGGGTGCCCGCAGAACGTTGAATCCCACCAACACACGGAGGAACCGATTTTGGAGGCGGTTGTCCTGGTGACCGTTCTGCTGGTGTCGTCGTTGCTTCTTGGTGGTCGCCTGGGCTCTCTTGGTCGTCCTGGTCGTAGTGTCCTGGTTGGTTTTGGTGATCTTCGTGGTCGTCATGGTCGTCATCGTCGTCTTGGTCGCCGTGGTCGTCGTGGTCGTCGTACACTGGCATAGTCTGCTTTACTTCACCTCACTTCACTCTACTCTTACTTGCTCTGCACAGAAGGCCATTTTCAACCTCTCTTCCAGTCGTCCATCCGTCAATACAAACCGAGCGTCCGAGGCGAAACATGAAGCACACTTTCGTCGTCTCGTGTTAGAGACAGCTTGACTTTGCGGCCGTTGTGATACCGTCCAGATGTGTGTATGTGTGTCTGGTGTTCTGCCGCTCCATAACATCTAGGGAGGAGGAACAAACAGGTTCGCACAGCGTCCTCTTCTGAACATCTGCACGCTTCCCATGTTCTGCGGAAACCAGGTGGATTCAGACACTGCGAGGCCAAAAGAGGCGGACATGTTGGAATGTACTCGTACAATGAATTCCACTTTTCGGAGGACGGGGCACGAAAAAGTGTGTGTTTGTGTGTGTGTGCAAATAATGGGATAGCCGAAGCGAAAGCCGAGTCCCGGCGCGCACGCCTTCCGCATTCCTCGTGCCGACACTTACGACTTCTCTTCATTCGGAGCCAGAGTTGGTACCGCACTGTACGGAGAAGTAGAGCAAAGCAAACTGAAACAAAGTAATTGTCTGTTTGCCCAGGGTGGGTGTGTGTGTGTGTGTGTGTGCGAGCGTAGAAGCGTCTCAGAGTCACCATCCAAGTCTCGCCAGTCCAGGCCGTATGTTGGAAAGACCCACTGGCTGCAACAGTCTTGTTTTTGTTGAGGGTGGCGGCAAGTACATGTATAGAAAGGAAGGAGTCGAGGAGTGTTCTGAACGGTCAGCCAAAGCGCATTTGCACACGCGTTTTGTTCCATTGTTTGCAGATTCAGCTCTCAGTAAAGATTTGCATAGTTTGCATATATGGTGGATGCCGTACTACCGATACCCGAACAAATGCCCAACCCTTACGTTTTGAAACCATGCCCGGTTCAGCCCGAAATCTGCAAGATCGACGGGGTCTCTAAGTATCGTTTTCGGGTTTACGACCTGGGGCCTGCAGAGGGGTTCTCGGGCTTGGGGATTAAGTCTAAGTCTTGGGTGCTGGGTATGTTATATATGTAGGGTAGTATATCATATTAGTATCATATTTGTATGTTTACTATTGTTCTAATTTAGTCTTATTCTGCTTTACATTCTTCTGTTTGTAAAGTTCCTGTACTTCTTCTTCTTCGTCACCTGATTATTGATTACTACTGTTGTTTTTGTTATGATTCTCAGTTTCTGTTTTGAGGGTATAGTTGCTAGATGCATTCTACGTATGTGAGGAAAGGCCGAATGGTCTTGTGTGTCTCGCGAGTAGAAAATTTCAGTCATTTGCAAGCAAGCATAAATCGCACCCTCACGACTCATTAGAAGTGATCGTGAAGTGCATCCAGACTATAGACTCCGCTGACGTGAGTGCCGGCATTTTATTGTAGATGGTATCGAGCCTGTAAGGAAGTGCAGGTATACCGAAGGTAAACTTCATGCACTGCAGAATGAGAGTTTCAAGTCTCCTGTCGTCCAGGGTCAGATTTACCAATGGCCTTCCTATGAAATGTGCTGCAAGGCTCGCACGCGAGGCGATGCAGACTATGCTGGACAGCTCCGGCGAGCTGCCTTCCAATCTCCAGGAGCTTCAAGCGCCCGACGGTTTTGCCGCAATTTTCCTGCAGTGCCATGACATCTTGAGGATGATGGGCCGGCCATGCCGAGGACAGTGCAGTGGCACGTGTTCTGACACCGCACCACAACTTGCAAAGACAATCTCGGGAAGTCAATATCGAGCTCTGCACCATTATTTCTTCATGCACTGTAGGCCAGTGCCAGGCATGAGCCGCGACTGGCAGACTCAGCAGACTTAGCCTTTGCCAAGCCTGTGCTAGTGCCTAGTGAGTGCCAGCGTGGAGGAGTGCAGATTTCGACGGCTGGCTTGGGCGCCAGGCCTTTGCTACCAGTCGTTGGTTCATACTTAAGACTGTCATCGTGATCACAGGAGGCTTTTGCTCAGTGGGATACGCACACTCACCGCTCTCATGCTGAGACAGTACAGAACTCGGTTAATTGCCAGGCGAGTTCCGTGGTACATTGCAGACTGTTGCTTGATTACTTGCCATGGTCAAGGAGGGTGAGCATGACAACGAGCCGGACGAGGCTTGGAGAGCTTGCAAGAGCTATTGTCGTCATCGTGTCACGCAGGAGCTCGAAAGCGTTCTATCCCAGGACGACGACTCGCCTTCTACTCAGGACCGGGCCCAAGACGAAACGTGTCATGCCGCTATTCCAGCAACCTCCAACGGCCTGACAGGAGGGTACTTCATATCTGACTGACGCTGACCGTCAGCGCATCGGTGAGGCGGGGAAGTTGTGTGGTTGCCATGCAAAACACGGCAGGCAGCGTCAGCCGATCAGTTGCAACCAGGGGACCGCCATGAAGTCTGAAGCTGAAAAACTGCACCCAACTCGTGCCCCATCAATTTTTGGGGCTAGTGCCGCTTCCGACCGCAATCCCTCCGCCCGACTGACCCCCCCCAACCCGTCCCAGGCTCTGCCCACCAACGCCCAACACGTACAAGCACTGGCACAACTGAAACAAAACCTCCGTCCCCGTGAGTGTCGATTGTCCTTCAACCAGCCCATCCCTGGGGTCGGTGGGCATGTCAATGACGTGGCGCACACACACATGGTAGTTGATCTAAAGCTCCTTGTGGCATGATTTACATTAACGGCCAACTGCCTAGCTAAATAGGCCTTCGCGAAAGTTCCGCGACGGTGTCGCGAAAGTAACATTTTTCGCGAAAGTTATGTGTTAGCCTACTTTCTAGCGAAGCCGTCTTAGGGTTTGGATTTGGAAAGGGATGGTCAAGCCCGTCTTAAGGCTTGGATTTTTACCGGGTTTGGATTTTTGGCAAAGTCTCTTGAAAGGTTCTCGATTGCAGAGCTATTGGGGGGCATAATTGATTGAGAGTTTCTGAGAGCCTTTCCTACAAACTTCAAGGCTTTTGTAGAGCTGCTTAAGGCCGTCTTAGGGGTTGGACTTTTGATGAGGCCTCCCAATCATTACAGAACCCTCAAAAGAACCCTTCAAAGAACCTTTTAAACGAACGCCTTAAAAGAACACCCAAAGCAAAGGAACCCGTAACAGAACCCTCAAAGGAAACAGGGTTCTCGCTTGTAAAGGCATGTCAATATGTAAATATGCCTCCGCGAAAGTTCTGCGACGGTGGCGCGAAAGTTGCTTTTTATTAGTGAAGAAAGTCATTCCGGGATGAAGCAATGTAGATCAACAACCACATGCCTCCAGTTCTTGGTCAATTTTTGCGGGTGGGTATGGTCGCCAACCGACCTGAGTCTGAGATGCCAGCTGCAAATTGGGGTTCCGCATGCTTATAAAAAAGGATGTGTCAAGTGCTCAATTTCCCATTTTCCTTGCATCTTTCAGACTTCTGGGTCGAATCAAGTCCGTATACAACTGTACAACTTGTCCCATGACAGTGGGCACCTGTTGTTTCCGCCCGTTCCTGTTTCATGTCGTGTGTGATTGTCCAGCAGAGTCTTTTTGGAGTGCATGCTCGAATGTTTGCCTTTGCCTAAGCATCTTCTCTCGACGATGTTACAATGTTGGCAAATTGAGAAAGATTCATAGTTTCCGTGTATTTTGCATGTGGGAGGCTCGAGGACGAGGACGCAGGTTCTATATTGCATCTTCTTGGGCTGCCGATTCGTTGTTCTCAGGTGGGTCAGGGTCTTGTTGCGAAGGATTCCGATACCATGTCTGTTTTGGGTCGATCGGTCCAATACGAAAGGATCTTTTTGTGGTGACAGGTCAGATCTAGGGATTGGGACTGCGGGATAGCTGGATGGGGCCAGGATCAGTGGTATCGCCAAGGCGGTCAGGGGGTGGCCGGGGCGGCACTCGCGTCGTGATCGGATGGTGGCCGAGGTCGCGGCAAAGGTGGTGGTCAGTTCCCACCTGCTCGCAATCCTGCTCCCAATCCATACGAGGTCCGCTCACCGCCGTTCCTGGAGTCGATCGCTTTTTGGACAACGAGCGAAGCGTCCATTATCATGGTGGGCACCAGGGTTGAGAGGATCGTCTCGCTTTTCTCGCCTGGGTGAGGGAGCTCAATTACGAACTCCTCAAGTTCCATCAACGTTCTTGCAGAGCGAGAGATCAAGTGATGTCACCGTCGTCAGGTTGTCACCTGTCTCTCTTTGCGAATTACACGCGCCATGGGATCACGGCAGCCCTGGCGAAATCGATCGTGTCGCAGATTGGGACACCTTGTTGAGGATGGGATCCGCAGGCTCTGAGCCACACGGCTTTTCGGCCCTCTCGTGGCTGCCCTTCCTGGCACGTCCCCTTGCTTCGCGGACGTGAAGACTTACACTGGAAACAAATCGATCTTAATTTTTCCATTGGATCCGTGAGTTCCATGCAGATACGGACTTATCAGTCCAGCAAGAGTTCGCTGATGAGTTTTTCACTCGCGGAGTTCGCCCTGGACGAGTTCGCAGCTCCGTCGTGATCGCGGCCTTTGCTGGGTGTTCTGGTTCAAGTGCAGGAGCCGCACCTACGCCGTTGGTCCTGGTGGTGCGGTGGTCGCGGGAGACGGTGCGCACTCACGCTTTGAGCTGCGTGTGGCCGGAGAATGGCTTGGTTTCGAGACCGGGAGTGGTCGGTCCCGGGAAGGCTGCATCGGTCGCTCGTTCGAGCGTTTCGCTGCCGATGACTCCGTTCGGGAGGTCGTTGGTGTTCGGGGTGGGGATGTTTTTTTTTTCTCTTCGTTTGCATCATTGCCACTCTGGTGCTCTAGACTCCAGGCTACTGATCAATGCGAGCCGGAGTCCGGGTAGGGGTTTGGTTAGGTTTGTTTTGTCCAGAAGCAGTTGGATTGGCCATCCGGGATGGACACAACGCATGTCAGTACACAACACAAGCGACTAGATTCACAGACAACCATGTGCCTACCTTGTTGACAAAGCATGTTGGTATCGCTGTCTATGTGAAGCGCAGGTCCTTGCTGAGAGAAGATGGATGCGCCAAGAAGTCCCAGTTCCCCCAGCACGGAGCGGCTAGCACTTGCTGGGACAGCTCTCCAGATTCTTGACCTTTCGCTGTGCAGGACCGTTTTGTCATGGTCGGTGCCATCTGCAAACGATGGAAGACCAAGGCCCGTGGCTGTCATGCTGCATCCACTGCCGAAGTCATGCCCGAAGAGTGAAAATTGCTCCTCCGAGGATCGAGGTCCCATGGGGTGATGTTCGCTTGATGAACAGCGACGGATCTGCTGAGCCCGGATCTCGCTTGCGCTGGAGCTGCAGGGGCACATACCCTGACGCCAAGGACTGACAGAGGCAGACCGCCCAGTCGAGGTCTAGCACTTACCGCTTACCCATCCCAAGGCCTTTTCAAACACCTTCAGCCGTGCAGTCCGGTCGTTGTTTTTAACACCAAGGAGGTGAGTCCTGGCAGCCGCTAGGACAAACAACTCCGCCAGCGTACGAGCAGGCATCGATAGAGAGACTTTAGGTCACACATTTATGCCATTGCGTGTGTGTGTGTGTGTACGGTATTTAGGTGACGCCCGAGTTGTTCGAATTGTGGCAGACGCAGGACTTTGCATGACTTTGCCAGCTTGAGACTGAGACCATAAGATCTAAATCCGAATTGAGGAACCCAACCAGCCGCCTGCAGATCATGAGTCTGACGAGCAGGAGGCCATCTGCTGCAATGCTGTTTCAAACAGTCTTGTTTCTTGAACACGCCTCTGGAACCAGTGCGGTTGCTGTGTAGCAGGGGCGCCCAGCTAGAGATCAATCGCTACAGTTTAACCGTGCAGCGCTGGATTCAATCGAGCCAGGCCAGAATGTGCTTTGAGAGACCCGCAACCCAGGGCGAGATCAAGTTACCGGTAAGCTTCTGAAAACAAACAAGCTGCGGAATTCTTAAGCAAGGCCACATGCGCATGGATGGGGGTCGAGAACACAGACGTGAAACGCTGTTCAGACGGGATGGGATGCCCAGGATCCGAGGGAGGTGGCAGTCAGAAGAGCTTCCCCGGCAATGCCCGTTCCGTGACTGCCGAAACTAACCAGTGTTTTGACGAAGCGATCGCAGCGCCATGACAAGAGCTACGTGAGGCCAGCGAAGCCGTGGACTCTGCCAGTGTAGAGGACTCCCACGCTTCACGCACTTCACGCCCAGAGGCCGCTGAAACCGCTGAGTGTGCCAGTTCCGTGCCGAGCGGCCAAGTCAGGTTAGCCACAGCAGCCGACGGGACACAGGCCCAGTGCAGCTTCTATTCCCCTCAACAAGATTGCAAGAAACAGTGTTTTGGCGGTGTCCGCAGGACCTGGCCACCAGATTGCGGATGCCATCGATGGTCACGAACTGGAGCTCGTTGATGCCAGGCTCATCCAAAAAGTACGCGTACCCATCCTTGTCCGTTGTTTGAACTCGGACTGACCGCTGGCCAGGCCTCTTCAAGAAGAGTCTGGGTCCGAGCCGCTCCAACGGCTTTTCCCTAACAAAAAGAGAAGGAGCCTGTCTGAGGTTGTCCCGTGGCTCAGAGCCCGAAAGCATTGCGGTCGACCTCTCAACTCAAGCTTGCAAATACTCAGGTGCGAAGTCGTTGCATCCGAGTAGTGCTTTCACAGTCTTCAGGAAGCAGTCGCGGAAACGGCTGGAGGCCACATCTGTCGAGCATCAACATGTCGAAACTGAGCCAAGAGATGGATGTTCCAGTACTGGCAGGCCAGGATGTTGCGGCTGAGGCGGACCATGCAGGACTTCAGGGTAAAGTGATTGGAGTCAGGCCACGCCCTTCATCGTGTCCGCAGGATCCGGAGAGTCCGCGGAAGCCGTTGAGGTGCAGGGTTGGTTCGCGGATCGCATGCAGACCGAACGTGGTCATTTTCTGACAGGCAGAGGCAGCTTCCACCAGCGACTCGACCTCAAGCTGTCAGATCGAAGAGATCGAGGCCTGCTCATGTCTGTTGACCGCAAGCCCTTTGCCGTCCATTTCTTTGCAGGTGAAGGACACGGAAGGCTTTCAGGTGGACGAGTGGGTCTGTGAGGCGAAGGCTCGGCCCTGCAAATACAGCTTTGTGCCTCAAAAGGCTTGTGGCTTGTGTTTACTTCAGATGGCAGGCGACGGCCCGTGCTGAGGAGCGGCCCTGAATCCCTGTGCTGCTTCCGCACGATCTCCCGTCCGTGTCCATGGGCATGAGTGGCAGGTCGACGAGCAGCCTGAGTCTGCAGTCGAAGCGAGCATACAGGACTCAGTAGGAAAGCATCTTCAAGCCTGAAGATGTACCTGTGCAGAGCACTTCGCAGGATGGACAGGGATCTGGCCTGCGACCAGGCCCGTGCCCCCGGTGCATACTTTCAGCACGCAGCCATCTGCTGCCTTGAAAATGCTTTCTCGCGTAGCGTGCATGTCCAAGGTCTTCCAGTGAGTGATGGGACTGTGCTGCCCCCTGCTGTCATCGGACGGTTTACTGAAAATCACCTGATTGAAGTGCTGATGTGATCACGCCATCCACTGTTCAGGCGCACGAGAAAGTCACAGACGAGGTGGTTTCAGTCATCATGGACGAACTGATCAATGACACCATTCAGCATCTCTTCCAATTTTATGTCACGAGCACTACTTTCCTGATGACAGCCCAGCAAATTCTCCTACCAATATCTCTTCGAGTTTCTCTAGCCTTAGCTTTGCTCGTCGTTGTGTTCCTTTCTCTTCCAGTACTTGCTATCGCTCTTGTTTCTCCCTCCATGGCTCGAAAGGGTTTGTTCAGAAGCAGCCCTTTGTGTGCACAAGTAGCGATGAAAGAATGTCAGAGCCAGGGTCGAGACTCGTGGTATGGCCAGGGGAGGGCCAAGGAAGGGAGGAAGGGTCTTGGCTATCAAGGGACGCACGAGAGACCCATGCACCAAGCATGCAGAGAACCTACTTACTAGCAAAATTGGACCTTGCGTGGAAGCAGTCCAGTCTGCAAGCCAGGCTGTATTGCTTCCTCCATAGATGCTGGGAATCCGGCAGCGTTATTTTTCAACCCCCAATGAATGATCACTACCGAAAGCACGTCATGAAGCGAGACGGCTCCCTCGCTAGGAGCTCCTGCGACGTCCCAAGCATGCAAACAAGTTAGACTCCACGGAAAGCGGGGAGGGGGTGTGGGCGAAGCAATGGCAGGAGCAGGGCAGAAGGATTTTTTATTCGCCAATCAGAAACCGTGTTAGGGGTTACTGTGGGTTTACAGCGTGGTCGCGATGGCTGGGTGCACACAAACTTATCGCAAACTTGCGGAGGCAAAAATGTGCCCTGGACTGTGCGGGAACGCATTTCCCGAAAAGCAACCCACCGTCAAAGTGTTGAAATTTACAATGAATCAGACGATGCTGCTAGAACCTCACACAAAGCATGCACTCCACCTTGAAACTCATTTCGGGTACAAAGCACTGCTGCGTGCTCAATGACCCGCTCCAAGCTCCCGGGAGCAGAAACGGGCACGCGATGATGCTGCTGATGTGCCTGGCCGCACATTTTCTCGGCCACTCGGCTGCGAGCGCTCGCGGCCAGCTTGCGCTTGCACGCCGTCATGACGAGAGGCCCTCAACGGCCTACCCAACCCACTCCCGCCGCTCCCACTGCTCCCGCTCTCCCTCGCTTCTTTCGAGGGTTCGGACTCCTGCCTGTTGTGGACGCAGCACTGAGAAGAGCATGCAACGAGAAGACAAGGGTTCGTTGACATCTTGCTGCGGAGATTGCTACCACGTGCTTGTGAGGTCTTCAGCTGCTACTGAACCAGCTCTACGGCATCCGACGCCGATAGCTCCAGCGTTTATCGACATCTTCAGCGAGGAACGGGAACTTTCTCAGAAGGAAGGCTTCCTGCAGCCCTGCATGCTGACGGCAGGATTCTGCTCCTGACGGCTCCAGCGCCGAGAGCGAGAGTGTCGTCCAGCCCTCTCCGAGGAGGCAAAGCGAAAGTGCTCTCGCGATGCTCCAGAACAGAATTAGACTGCAACTTTCCGAGGCCGTTGCAAAAGAACGAGGAATCGGGCAGGGAGGCTGTGAAAGGAAGCGCCTCCCTTACTGTGAGTTCAGTGACTTCTCTCTGTGCCTGGCTTGGCTTAACGCGAAGTCTGGGCGAGCTCTCAGTCTCAGCTGCAAGTCTCCACTGATCCGAGGCCCGCTCCCTCGAAAGTTGCCGGCAAAGGCCGAAGAAATCCGTCTGGCAGCAGGCGGATTTCATTCGGGGAAACTCAAGCGATTGCTTTGCGCTTTGCACTGGCCTTGCACCGGCTTCAAAGCTCCGTGGTGCAGGCCTTCGGACAGAGAAGAAGGCTTCAACAGAGGATGGGCGAAGTGCCCAGCTTCGGATGAAGAGGTGATGTTGGGCAATCGAAGCCCGTCCCAGGCCTCCGCGGCCGCCCTCCCCGCCTCCTGACCTGCGCGACAGCCTAAACTTGGGCCAATTTGGAGGTCTGGTGCAATCTGGTGCAACTGCGACGCAAGTTTCTACTGCCCAGGTAGTACCAACACGGAGCCAGCAAGCACGGCACCGCACTGGTCCCAGAGACTGCAATCTGCCTGTCAAGCGATCCGCGGCGCCGGCCCGCAGGCAAGCCGACAGAAGCCCAAAAGGCACCTGTGTCAAATTGCGCCGAAACGCAGCTGCGCTTCCGCTGTTCATGAAAATCCCGGACAGTGTGACAGGACGACAAGACACCGCTGAGCTCATCAGCCAGGCGAGCCTTGAGATGTTCATGCCGGACATCGCTTCAAGAACACTTTTGTGGAATGGTCATCAGATTCATACTGCGTCAAAGTCTGTTTCATTCGTCGAGTGTGCGATGAGATCAATGGCTCTTCAGCTGCATCGGGATTGTGTCAATGGAATATATTTCGAATGTGCAGTCGTGTCGAAAGTGGGTCACGCACTGAGAACCTTTTTTTGGGGCACTCATGGTCAATGCCCGAACTGGTGGCCGCAGAATCACAATAGTGACAAGAGATCTTGTCTATGGTGTTCTGCAGTCGAGTGTTGGCGCTTGTCACAGGAGCTCTTCGACATATTGCTCGGTGAGGCACATGACCTCTTGCAAGGGCTTGGATTTATGTGTCGGACGACTATTCGGCACAGATGTTGCAGGCGTTGGATGCATTCGACTGTACGTCGCCTGGTCGTCGCGAGATCAGTCCACTTGAGGCACAGATTAGTCTGTTGGATTTTCAATGCATGCCATTGCCCGTATTGCTTAGTTTTCGTGGCTTGGATGGAACAGGAGACTCGACTTAATATTCTGGATGGCTCTACGCCGGCAAGCCCACTGGCAGGACGGCATTGGCCAGAAATAGCAAAGCAGATCCATAGTGGACATGACCATGATAGGCAAGTGTGGGTGTGTGGGAAACCACCGTGCATATGGTGCGGAACACTCGGTTGCGAATGCCCCTTGCAGAAAAGATCAACAGGCTATAATAGGGAGAAGCGGAGACGTCCTCTCCGCTGATCTTGCAGAGTGATGCTGGACACAAGCATTCACAATCCTCGCCGCCCATTGCTATTTGGTGCTGGCGACATTTTACATGGTGTGTTCGCGAATAACTAGAGTGATTGTTCAAGTCATCGTCGAATCGTCACAGTCTTATTTCTATGCTATACCCATCGCCTAGCAGTGACCACATCAAAACCGACGAAGTCGGGTCACAACATCTGGCCATCCGAAGGATGGCTCTGGTTCAAGCTCGTGGAACGTGAAGCTGACTCCAAGCATGCACGGCAAATTCCAACGTCACAGCCGGTATCATGCCATTTGGGAGGTTGGCCTCCAGGAGCCAACCAACCTCAGGAAATGTGGCATGGACACCAACGATGCAGCAGACACAAAATATCTTCAACGTCCTTGCCATGCACCACATTAGCCCGGCAGCGGCTATCTCTGCGATACCGACTGAGACTCTTTCCCGTTCCATTGCTTGAAGTTTCATTCTGCTGTATCTCTGACCGGTCAAGCAGCTGCTGCTCCATCTTTGGGCCGCCGCAAAACGATCATTGCCGGCCTGCGCTGCGCCAAGATATGCCAAGGTACCATCGACAAGAGGAAACGGATCGTCTGCGCACATGTGCGCAATGATGTTGATGATGCGCAAGAACGGATGGTGGTTGGGTGGGATTTGTGCACACCCAGCCATGTAGTTCATTGGCAGCTGTGGTGCTCAGCGGAATTTTGCGTAGACGCGTCTACAATCCTTGCCGTGCATTGATGCTATTAACTGTTGGCGGCATATTTTACAGGCTATGTTCGCAGGTAGGAGTAAAAGCAAGTGATGTGCCATTGATTGCCGTGGACATGTTCTGAGAGACGGCGTGACAGCAACACGTTCTTTCCTTTTCATGTTACGTTGTCTGCTCGAGCGTTGTGACTACCATTTCTGACAGAAAATGCAATGACAGTCGCCAGATAGATACTCATCATACGGCTTCTTGCAATGTGAGACATCCTACCTTGTATTGTACGAAGATCTCCAATGCATGTCGCACAGAGGTTCGTGTCTTCCCGTGAGGACCGCATCCAATCGACACATCTGATGCAGTTGCCGCACGTCCAAATTTAAGCAATGCCTGCCGCTCCTGTAAAGACGCAAATGCAGTCGGGGAGACGTGAAACGTAGTGAGATGTGTTGCAAGGTGGCTCCATTCATTGAGGCTGTTTTCCAGCAGCTTGGTGTGACCGATGAGGCCGGGGCAAGATTCCGAGCCGAAGACCGGGAAAAGCAGCGAGTGCAAGTGCACCAGGCACAACCGATTACTGGGCCCCTGCCAGATCTGGAGGCTGCGATGTTTAGTCTAGAAAAGTCCCCACCTTGCACATTGCCGGCCCGCTACTGGCCAGGAATGGCTGCCAGCAGTCCTTGAAGTCATGAAGACACGGCATCGCTGCAGCCCCAGGGGTTCAAAGATAAGAAGCTACTCAAAATCAGGGATGGCCTGAAACAGGTGCTACCCGCAAAGTGGAAGATCGGTCCAAGGGAACTCCGGGCAGACCGAAGGAGGAGGCAAGCGGATATTCTCGGCGATCCATGTTCGCTGGTGATCTTGGTAGGACCTCGACCCAGCCTTCGAAGAGACGGCTCGTAGCTCACTGGAACTTAGTGACGGCCCGCATGCTACGGAATCAGCCTTCCAGGAGGACGAGAACGTCGAGAGCTTCACCAGACTGTGATTGCCTAAGCTGCGTCCTGTAGTGACGCACTTTCAGAGTTTGCGCTTTTCCATATGTACAGTGATTCATTCAGTCCTCTATAAATTTGACGCAGTCTCTCCATGGCCGTGCTGACCAATCTGCAGGCTTGCGGATGAACTGTTGGCTTTGGCACATGAAGAGGTCAAGGACTGCATCAAGTGCAACCGCATTGTGCCACCCATTCTGTCGAGTGCCATGGCTGCCATAAAGTTCGAATCTATTATGCTTTCCAGGAGCAAGGTCCACGGATCATGGGTTGGCGTCGACCCTGCTTCGGTGAAGCACCTCTCTCACGTTTCCGTGCAAAGCAGGACCTTTCCCGTGTGTGGTGTTGTCACCGGAATGTTTCTGCATATGCCAGTGCGTCATCGCTGCATACAGGAGGGCACCAACCCATCACAGCGACAGACCTGGGAGAAGGCAAGCTAAGCGTTCTTGAGGGAACATGAACAGGTTCCGGTTTGTCATGGCAGGTCAGGGAGAAGTTGACCGAAGCTGTCCGCCGCTTCGGCTATCGAACCGAGGTGCGAAACACTTGTGTTTCTGCCGATGTCTAAGCAGCATGCGCTTCAGACACAAGTTTTCTGCAAAGCCCGATTTCTCGATCGTGCAGGGTGGGGATGAGATTCCTGCAGGCTCCACGCCGAGTTTTTTGGCTCACTGGCTATGAGAAACTGGAAAATCTGAGCCAAGGCAGAGCGATCGAGGCCGATGGTTCGTCAGGCCGGAAGTGCGGCAGTGCAGATGTCTCACAACTCATTGCTAGCGAACTCCGGGCAAGCCAATACTAGAGATCTAGGAGGCAAGGAAACGGAGAGGGCCTGGGGATGGATTGTGCAGGTGGAGCCGTCACAATGTCCAACATGGATGAAGGCAGGTGGCGTTGCTGCTGCTTTGTTCTGCACGGATGCACCGGTCCCACTGCTTCGCCGTGAAGTGCAGCCAACTCCAAGAAGGAACATCCTACGGAAGGGACAAGGGCAGAGAAATCTGGGCCTGTGGGGCTGTCTTCCTTTCGCCTGACTGTGCCGGGGGGCGGCTCTGCCGCACCTTGGGCCGGGGCTGTCTTCCTTTCGCCTGACTGCGCCGGGGGGCGGTTCAGCCGCACCCTAGGCCGGGGCCTTCTCTCCTTTCAAGCTTCTCACTCCGCTGAAGAGACCTAAGAGCATGACATCGATGTGCAGAACGCAGAACCCGGGTTGGAACATGGAACATCAACCGAACCATTTTGTATCCTGTGGCATCGCGGGTCTGGTCTCTGGCTGGCGTAGACGGAATAACGAAGCAGCATCCTGTCACATTCACGATTTGGTCACATGAGGCATCGATGCGCTGCTCGAAGAAGATATTTGCCATGTGCTCGGTGCCAGTGACTGACAGTGCTTGTGCAGAGCTGTGGAAAAACAACTAAATTCTTTCAGGCAGTGATGAGGCATCCTGGTTAGACATCAAGGGTGACTTGCAGAAGGTCAAAGACCAGGCAGCCTTGCGGCACTAAGACGATTTGTGCAAAGTGTTGTGGGCCCGGTTCCCTTACTAGGTAGCCCAAGTACAGTGCTCCTACCCTTTGTCTTGAAGGTTGCTGGGATGATTTTCATGGATCTTGTCGACGAGATGGTCACGGAGATTGGCAGCATGTGGTCCGTCCTGCGACCGCAGTTATTATATTGTTGAGAATTGCAGTGATCCACATGGGAAAGCTACCAGCAGTCGAGCCAGAGGCATAAGAGTGGGCTCGCCACTCCTGCGGACTTCGCTGTGCCTCCGCCCCAGCCCGAATTCGGTGCGACTTTTTACTTTCTCTGCATTGCCAGTGGTTTCGACCCTGAACAAGTCATGCTTTGTACAGCCGTCCATCTGGGGCCTGTGGCGAAAGGCGAGCCTTGCTGCCCTGTAAATGCCCTGTACAATTCGTACAATTCAATCGGAGAGAAGCCCACGACAGCCCGCTTTCAAGTGGAGATGTTGGGGAGTCCACTCCAATTAGCCTTCTTGCGCTATGCAAGGAGTGGTTTCACATGTGCGTAGTCTTCACGTCCTGAACATACGAATCGCAACCCAATATAGCTAGGACTTGTTGCTTCAAAGCCAAAGTCTGACCAAGATCTCGCAGCAATACTAGCTTGGGCGACGGACAGGCGTTCGCCGCGTCCCTTAGAGATGAACCTCCTTTGCGCCCAGGAGATGACTGCAAGCGTCAGACAGTGTAAAACGGGTGCGCCTAAGCAGTACTGTGAAATGCTGACTTTGCAGAAATGGCTCCAGACTGCCCTACTCGCCGTGGCACTTTCTCAAGCTGGGCATGGGACAGGCATGGCACCCGCCACACCAGCCAAGTCCTCAGCTTGACCCTGAACTCGCTTGCATGGTCTCGCGATGTCTCGCGGAGGTCCAGGAGCCGCCTTTGAACGTGCCGGCCTTGCCGTCACTGTCGTCTGCTGTCTGCTGCTGTCCGCCTTTCATGGCCGGCATTCACAGGTTCGTGAGAAGGCTGGGCGTATTGTGGTTGTCTTCAGCGTGCCGAATGTGAGAGCCAACTCGGTGCAGGCAGGGTTCGCAGGGCTTGCAGGGCTCGCATCTGGCAGCTGCACGGATCATCGCTTACAGACCAAGCTGTAGGTTGAAAGCAGAGGCCCCAGCGAAGACGAACCAGCAGGCCTCCTGATCGCCGTTCCTGCCGTGTGGCTTCCACCAAGCGAAAGCTTCGGAGCAGGATCCGTGCACGTCTTCTTCAGCTCCCTGTCTCCAAGTCGGAGTTTCGAGAAGCACCTCGTCTGTGGCCCAGAGTTCTGGAGTACCCTAGTCGGTCCTGTGTTTGCCTTCCTGGGAGATTCTGCCACACGGTATTGAAGAAAAGATCATCAAAGATGTCAGTGCCCCGGAAAATTTTGAGTTGCCCGTTGGGGATGGGTTCCTATCTTTTGTTGAATGCTGCCCTGCTGTGATGCGCTCATGGGAAGCCCTCATGCAGTTGCAGGTTCAGAGTAAGTCCCTGACGGTCCAGCTGGCATTGGCCTGAGTTGACGGCAGTGTCGGCTTTTACGTGGCACTTCTCAGTGGGGTCCTTGCGCAGGTCAAGTTGGACACGGCCATAGTTTTCACCTCGGTTCCTGCAAGAAGTCCTCTGTGTGCACTGCATAGCCAGAACAACTACAACTCTGAGGAATGGGGCCAAGCATGGCTAAAACCAAAGAGTAAAGCAAAAAGGAGCCGTTTGCTGTTGTGCCATTTCGCAGTTTGCTGATGTTTGCTGTATATCCCTTGGTGCCAGGAGGACGTTGCCCGATGCGGACAAAGAAAATAAAGGCCCCCTTCTCAGCTTTTGGCGAAAGGCCGCATTCGCGCGTCTCGCTCTGAGGAGCTCCTTCGCCTTCGCCGACAGCTCCAGGGCTCGATCCGAAGGCCGAGCTGATCTCGGCTGATCAAAGATGTGCGTCTGCATGTTATTCCCCCAATAAAGATAGGCCGTTTCACCACAGCGTTGTTTTGGGGTTGCTTGATAGTGATGTGGTGCAGCAGACATGTACCACTTCAGAGTAGAGATTTCCTTTACACATTCGCAAGCAAAACAGCCATCAACTGTTTGAAGCAAGCACGTCTTGGAGTTCCTGTGCGTACGTTTTGTCTTTTTTGTAGAGCTTGCGATGAGCGGAACTGCGTGAGGCTGGAAAGCTAAGCCAGAACTTGGTTTAGTAAGCATCGACTAGCCAGACCCTGCCGGAATCAGGTTGTGGGCAGGCTTCTGCATCTCGCCTTTCGTTGGGAGGTTAGCTGGTGCTTGCTTCTGAGAGCCTACCGGGGAGAGATGGGGGTGCCGTGATGCTGCTGATGCTTACCTCCTGGTCCTTCCGCTGCAGCTGACGTGGGCTTGCAAACTTCAACAAGTCACCTTTCGTTCGAAGCCGTCTGTTTGTAACAGCAGCCTATCAATGAAGAGAGATCGTGTGCATCTGCGGAGGTCTCGAATGCAGAAGTGCTCGAGGGCCCGGAAACTGCACCTCAGGACGGCATGCTGAAGCTTCACTCTTGCAGATCCGGCGGACTTCCTGCAGAGGCAGAGGCAGAGGTGAAGACAGCCGTTGGAGCAAAGGATGACGATGAGGTCAGGCAGGCGCAGGACAGGGAAAACAGCAAGGACAAGGAGGAAGGCGAGCAAGGCGAGCAAGGCGAGCGAGGCACGAGCAACGGCGACGAACTGCCGGAATCCGGAGCGAGTCCCAGCGTGGCTCGCGGCGCAACGGCGACGGAGCAACTCGGATGACGAATGAGGCCAGAATTGCCACACGATGCAGCCGCGTTTGCAGCGTCAATCCGAGGAGCGAGCCGAACAGGCACAGCGGACCCCATGAGGCGTGGCCCGAAGTGTCCTCTCTGCAGACTTGGCCTCTGTTGCTGCTTGAGGCGGGAGGCAAAGCGCGGGCTCGCCGAGGCAAGAAAGCCAAATCGAAGGCCGGTACCGAGCGGGACGATGGCCCAGAACCTCTTCGCCGAGAGGACGACGTGAACAAGGCCAGGAGCTGCAGGACAGCCAGACAAGTCCCAAATAGAGCCCAGAGTTTCGGAGGCACAGGCGACGGACAGAAGAGAGGATACACAAGGAAAAAAGCAGGCCTGCTTCGACTCTTCGACTGGGAGCTGCAGACGTAGGATCTTTCAGGAGCCTGCAGCTGAACCGAAGAGGACGCAGAGTGCTGCAACCGTTGTTCAGCGGTCTTGCCAAGCCTTAAGTGCTTCAGGAGCGGCTCTTCTCCACACGAAACGAAGCCAGCCAAGGAGTTCAAGGTCGACAAATTGGAAGATCTTGGGCAACTGTTCGGCAACACGTTGGAATGGCTGAAGAAGCAGCAAACCGGGCTGCTGAAAGACTATCCGATTCAACCTCCATCTGACCCAGAACTACAACAACTTGTAAGTTCGCAGCTCAGTGGGCACAAAGGATCCACAGTGGGTGAAACCTTCTTCACGTGTTGCAGGCGCTGAGCTAAGGACAAACATGCGAACCTGCAGACTGAAAGTGTCCAGACAGATCCATGGCACTAGTTGTCTAGTTGTCTACACACTGCCTTGTAAATTCAGAGGCCCTGCTGTCAAAATGTTGCGCTATCAGCAGCGTCAACTTTGGATTCTGAATATGTTCCAGAGCATTTAGACTCTAGACGAGCACTTTCTCAACTGTTACAGCTTGTGAAGCTGCCTTGACAGATTCTCGGTTTTCCGATCTGCAGCATCATGAATCATGAAGGCTGATGGAACATGCATATCTGGCACATCTTTCTGCCTCACCTATCTTATCAGTCTTGCAAAGCTCGTCTAGTTTCTTGCTTTTCTTTGTCTCGCTCTGCCTCTCCTGGTGATCCATACCGCGCTCCGTTCTGCCCTGCGTGATGCATGGTCTAAGCAGAGCTGGATATATGAGCAGACTCCGGTCTCAGGCTTCGTTGATCGCCTGAGAAAGACGGAACTCACGACCCAACCCCAGGCAATGGCACGGCGTTGCTCAAAGATGACCTGAAGAAGGTCCAGTTTGCTGGATGATCTGGGATCGGAGATGCTGCGGCCCGGTTGCCTGAAGGCCACGGTGTTTTTGCGACTCGCCGGGCGCAAGGGTTACTTGCCGGCGTACTTGCGCAGCCGGCCCGTTTACAGTCGGTGACGATTTCTTCTGCGCGGCTCTTGGGCCATGAGGCTTCTGGCGCGCAATGCTCAAGAGAGCAAGCAGGACGGGCCCCTCATCGAGAACTTGTGTGCCAGCTCCTCGGGAAGTGGTCGAGAAAGTCCCACCGACCGAGCATCGGATGCCTTGCAGATACTGTGCAGGCTGTGCTGAGCACTCCCAATGCCAAGAAACAGTTACCAGAGGGAGCCCTGCTTGTTGCTGTCTTTCCACTGTGGCTTCCTGCATGGTTGTGCTTATGCAGGACTTCTCAATGGCTGTGCGCCGTGGCCTCGCTTGCCATGAGTCGTTTCTGGTCTTATCCGCCTGGCTCGAGGATGCAGCTGGCAGCTGTGCTAAAAGATCAGAAGAACAGGAAGGAGGTGCATGTTTTGGTAGGTAGGCCACGCGGCTCCCGCAGCTGTTGAAGGTGGAAGTCCACGCGGAGCAGCTGGATGCCATTGCCAAAGACTGGTGATGCACCCACAATAGGCCAACAAAAGTGCTTCTACCCATCTGAGATGCAATTGAGGCCGATTGTCAACATCGTCAAGCTTCAGACAGCGAGTTGTCGTCCTAGCTGTTGTAAGCTTTGAAACATCAACACTTGTGCAAAAACGAACTCGCAAGGTGAGATGCCGTCAATCGGCTCCAGAACAAAAGCCACTGCCAAGGTTTTTGTCCCAGTGAAGATGCGCTGCATCAGCTAATCATCAGCTAGCTAATCTTTCAACGGGAGTCATCTGCGACGGACCATTTCATGAGGCCCAGCAGAGCCAGCGAAGCCAAAGACAGGCCAGGCACTGAGGCCAAACGACAGGAATTGCTCCTCGATTAATGTTCAACTTTGTTGAAATTCACAATTGTTGGAGACTTAGCCCCTACCCAGCCCTGGATGCCAGACAACTGTTTGTTTTTTGCTTCTCGAGCATTGCAGAGCCTCGTGAGTTTCAGGGTTAGGAGATTTGGGATCGTGACTCTGTTTCGTGTCCTGAACCTCACCAAACACTGGATGCTCAAAAAAAAACCCAACCCTAAAATTCACGCAACAGTGCTATGCTCAAAACAATCGACAAACAACATTAGTGACCCCCTGTGAGTGGGTTTAGTTTTGTTTAGGCTGGACAAGTCTACATTACCGCGGTGTTCGTCTCCACCAGGTTTAGTTTTTATGGTTTGGGGTTTAGGGCTAAACGCTGAACCCTAAACTCTAAGTTTTAATTGCCTGGTTGTGCACGTGTGCATCAAGTGACAAAACCCGTTCGACGATGTTACCTCTCAGTTTTGCCGGTGCGGGCAGCAGATTTTTCAAGTTAGCTGCAGCTGGAGACGAGGTTCGCCCGGCAGCCGGCGATGGAGATGGCGACGCGCCCGGTTCAGGCCCGTCCGCAGCGGTGGTGCGGCTGGCCTTGCGCGTCCTGTGCGACGCACACGAAGACCTCCTGATGGACTGCTTGGAGGAGACGCAGCTGAAGTCGCGTGCCAAGTTGGCGGCCATGACAGCCCAGTCGTCGCCGAGGGCTGTGTTTCACCCGGTAGCATTTTTGAGTTTCTTTGACGATCGACGTGGCAGCGCAGGCCCTTAAATCGTTACAGATGCAGTCAGTTCTGTACTTCCCGTTCGAGCTCGAGCTTGTGTGTCAGCGTTGCTGCACCTCTCAGCACAGTTTCGTTCAGCATCAGGGTAATGCTCTTGCAGTCGACCCAAGTCGTTTGGCTTCCGCCCTTAAGCCTCGTTGCCCAGCCGACACTGTCTTGTTAGTGTGCGCAGCACCACCTTGTCACGACTTCAGTTCCATCCGCGGCGCGTCTTCTCTAGGAGTGGCAGGTCCCGAACGAAGGTGCCATGTCCTCATGCAGCGGGACATCCAAGCTATGTTCGACAAGGAGTTGTGCTGCCGGTCGTTTGTTTGCGACGCTGCGTCTTGGTCGGTCGTGTCCAGGCCCTGCCTGTGGTGGGTCAGCATTTTGGAGCCACCTACACCCAACGAGCCTCCGCCAGCCTCAGTGTGGCGTTCTTGTCCCACTGCAACTTTTGGCCGTGTCCTGTTCCCGTGCCTGACGACACCGGCAAGCCCCGGGACCCACCCGGGGAATAGCTCCAGATCGACGGCGGCTCCTGGGGGCTGACTTGCTCCCCATCCCCTTGCATATCATCCTGCATATCAGCGGGAACGACACAGCAGGAGGTCCGCGACCTCAAACAGAGCCGTTGGCGCTGCATCGTGGTCAGACAGGATGAGGTGCTACTCTCCTCCGCCCAAGCACCGCCGCAGTGAGTCTCCTGGTACCACGTCTAGGGTCTCAGCCACATGTGAGTGGCTGCAGGCATTGATGGCGCTGTTCTGTTGCGCGCTTCCTGTTGTGCTTGATGTTGGTGCAGTCATGTCCGTTTCGGCCAACTCACCTTGCGAGTGGTACCATCCGGTGCCGGATCCTACTCAGGCATTTCAGTTCCACCCCGAGTCGCCCTCTCGTTCGCACAGCCTCCTTCTGGTTCTGGTCATCCTTGACTTGGAATCCCCGTGAGCCAAGCCAGCCGATCCCACAGACGACCCGTTCGCACACCTTCAGTTTTCCGGTGAGGCTAAACCCTGGTTTGCAGTGGTGCTACGACACACAGCCCTGCTTCGGTGGCAAGCTTCCTGTCACTGAGTTGTTTTGTGGCTTCCCTCTGTTAGGGCCGTTGTCACCAGGGACAGGTTGGGCCCCCAGGTCGGACTTCAAGTACTCCGGGCCACTCAACCCGTCTGAGTTCAGAGCTTCCAACAGGGAGCACGTTTGGTCGGTTGTGACGGGCCTTCGGTCAAACGAATATTCTGTGACCATGTTTGAGGAGATTCTTGCGGAGTGTGAGCTCGGTCGTGTAAGCGGTCCTTTCCCCGTTAGTCGAATTCTTCTGCAGGACGCGTCAGCTGCAGCTTGTGCCTCACGCGCTTTCCCGGTCGTTCAAGCAGGTACAAGTCAGGCGTGCCGACGACTGGATGCGCAGGTCACTTACAGTCCGTCCTATGCTGGCGCAGACACGTTAGCTAGCTGCATCCAGGCCGCTAAGCGCCCGCAAAGAACCTTGCTCAGTGCTGCGGACCACGAGGGGGCTTACCGCGCGGGACCCGTCCGAGTGTGGGGTCATTCTTACGGACAGCACGCTCTGACTTACCACAATAGTCTCCCTTTCGGCAGCGCCGGAAGCGGATGGTCGTATCTTCGGGTGGCAGACGTGCTGTCTTTCCTGGCAGTGAGCCTGCTAATCGTCCCGTCAGCTCATCTCCTTGATGATTTTTATCAATCCGAAGATGAGGAGTTGGCGCCGTCAGCTTTCTTTGTTCAAGAGGTTCCACACGAGGCCAAAGAGAAGAGACCAGCGACAGGTCGCACAGCCTGTTAGGAGTACTGTGGACGTTGGTGCCCGATGGAGTTTGGGCTAGCCCAGGTCGCCAAGCTGGTGACAGCCTTGTCCGAGTGTCTGCAGAAAGGGACCTGTTCGGGCCCGTCGGCCTCCCGCTTGCGTGGGTTTCCGGAAAAGCAGGTCAGGCTCTCCTTAAGCCTTTGTACCGTCGACAGCACTCCAGTTACTCTAGTTCGTCGGCAGAGGTCGACCTCCGCCCGGCGCTGAAAGTTAGTTTTGCTCTCTTCGTCGAGCTGCCAGCACTCAAACCCAGGTTTTTGCCGAGCATTTCCAGGTCGGTTATCGTCAGACTCTACGCCGACGCGTTCATCACCATGCATGGTGACAGGAGGGGCGCCAATCGGTGGATGGACGCCAGTGCAGCCCTTCAGCAACTTCGCTAGTCCACCTCGACAACACTGCCGCCGAGCATGCGCTCAACAAGGGGACGTGTAAGAACTCGTCTCTGGGCCTTTTCGTAGGTTTTCAGCATGTGACCAGTCAGGCCAATTTGTCCGATAACGTGTCTCGAGGAGACCTCAGCGAGGCAGAGCAGTTGGGGTGCCGACGCGTCGAGCCCGGTTCGACACGGCCGGCGTGGCCTGACCTTCTGCGGCAACAAGAATTTCCGGCTGACCTGGCAGTGTGGGACTGCCAGGCGGTCGTTGACAGACTGTTCGCTGAGCCACCGCGCTCCGAGGTGGGGAAAGGCGCGCGGTGAGTGGTGGTTTGTTCGAGCGCGCTGTTAAAAACGGTTTTGTTGCTCCAACCCGTTCGTTCGCAGACAGAACGCCAACAAAGTCGAGCAGGTCGAGGCGAAAAGAAAAGAGCGTCGACCGTGCGCCTGTTAGCAGTACAGCGGAGTTTAGGGTTTTGTCTGGTTGGAGGCGAAAAAATGAGCCTCCTGTTAGCAGCACAGCGGAGTTTAGGGTTTTGACCGCTATATCCAAAACTGTCGAAATATTGATATTTGGTGTTTTGTTGATCCTTTTAACAAGATCTAGTGTCCAGTGATTTCAAGAGTTTCGCAGTTTTGAAAGTCCCGGCTCTACCAAAACCTATTGAACTTAAGTGAAATATTTGCATTATTGAATGATTTGGATTGCAGTCTCCATCCACAACCATCAAATATTGAACATTCCAGCTTTTCTGACAACGTTAATATTTTTCGACGTGTTCATATTTGGAATGTTTTTCAATTTTTGTAATTTCTGTTGGTTAAAGTTTTGAGTATTTCGGCTCCTCCGAAAACTGTTAAGAACCCGCCGGAACGCGTTCATATGATACAGGGAGGTTCCTCTTACATCCGTATATACATACAGATCATACAGAAAAGCATATAAACATATAGACGTTTAGACGTTTAGACATATAGGTACTAGACATATCTGCATACCTGCATATCTACATATCTACATGTCTACATACCTACATACATACATACATGTTCTCGTATACACATAAATATATATATATATACACACATACTCCCCTGCGCACGAAGCACGGCTGCAAACCAGTGAGGAAATTCGCACGCTGCATTCGTTTGAGCGCCCGCCCAGTCCGACTTCGAGCAGATCAAGGCCATGGCAAGACCTCGGGTGCCGGTCACGGCAGCTCAAGCAGCCCAGGCCAGGCCCTGCTTCCACGCTCTCGGTTCTCCTGGATCCCCTATCTGTCTGAGTTCTTGCGGCAGGTCGGTGTGAGCCGAGGCAAGGCACGTTCTTGCGGCGGCAGGTTTTCTCGGCTTTTGCAGATTCGGTGCCATGCTTGCCAGGGGAATGGCGTGAAGAGGCCGACGCCTGGAGGTTTTCAGCGAAGGCAGGTGATGCTCAGCCATTCAAGTCAGTCAGGGTTGCGAAGTGCAGATGAATTTGCACAAAAAGGTTTCGGAGTTGGCAAGCTTGTCTGGGAGTCAGCCTGCCGCTGAGTGACACTCCAGCGTATGCAGGTCAGAGAAGATTTCATCACACTAAGGTTAGAAGTTAATCCATCGTACATCCGATTGATGGACTCCAACCAGCCACACCGACGTGTCTTGTGAGTTGTGGAGCAAGCTGGGGTCATATGATGTATCGTGTAACCCAGCAGCAGGGTCCACCGTCCCGTCTTTTCGGCTCAGAATCTCGAAAGCCGAATCTGCGGGAGTTGGCGAGGTCGACCGTGTTCCTTCTCAGAGGCAGCTTGGGTAAGGGTAAGCATGCCCATCCGCAGGTGCATGTCTCGATCGAGGTCCCGATCACGGGCAAGCGAGGCAATGCAGACCAGCATGTGGGTTGATCAAGCCTTTCCCAGCTGCAGGACTCTCGCGACACCTCGTCGGAGCCCGTGCCAGTATGCCTGTATCTCGGCTGCGAAGTGAAAAAATGCCACCTTCACGGGTGACTCCTGCCGAGGCCTGGCAAGCCCTGATGTCGGATCCGAGGAGCCAAGTTTTGCGAATCGAATTCGGTTTGAGAATCCTGTGGGCTTGGATGCCTTCCTGGTGATTCCCACGCTAGTGAGCCATGCAGGGTAGGCAACATAATGCAACAGGATCAGACTTAGAGATAGTTTCTAAGAGTCTAAGAGCTGCTCGGGTGTCAATCACGTTACTGGGATCTGCATGCTCAGTGCCAGGATGCGCCAAGACATCTCGACATGGAGCCCGACCCTGCCGAGGATGCAATCCTGCAGATATTCATCGGGCTGTGAGCTTCCCAGCATCTGGTTCCGTCACCCGGTCCCATCGAAGAGACTTTGCAAAGGTGTTGGTGTCCAGCTTCTGATCCGGATGCGACGGCGAGGCTACATGTAGTGCAGGAGAGGACCTCTGGGCAGAAGCAGCTGGAAGGTTAGCCTCCTGTTTGTGCAATTTCAAGTTCGAGGCTGAGTTTGCAAAGACTGTGTTGCTGCATTTGTGCAACAGTGAAGCACAGACAGCCTGGTTCCTCTTGTAACATGCTTGCGGTCGTGGTGCAGGTGGTGGTCGTGCCCTCGAAACGGCCCGAGGCAATCCTGAAAACCGACAGGCCCCCAACAGAATCCTCCGCCTCTTACAGTGCAGGCACTTGCGGCTGCGACCTCTTTCATTGAAATTGCTTGCAAGGAGTCGGCAGAGGTGATTCGAATGTGAAGCCGACGGTTTACCAATAACAGGAGTTCAGCTGGGAACTCGAGCTCGCAAGCGCAACCTTCCCTTCTGAAGGCCCCGGCCCCGGCCTCTTCAGCATTCGCTCCTGTCAATTGGCACCAGAGGCACGGATGAGAAGTCTTTGCAGGATGCATATCAAGCGCTGTCCGGCACCGAGTTCGTTAAAATCAGTCCCTCTGTTTGCGACGTGCGCCGGCGCGATTGTTGGTCGAACTCCCAATGCATCTTGCTGGTATGTCTGCAAACGCCAGCCGCACCAGACTTCCCGAGATGACCGATGGGATCCGTTGCTCCGCCATTCTTTCCCTTCCCTTGGCCTGTTATGGGTCACGCTGTAGTCTGCCTAGAAGTTCTGGAGTTCTGGATTTCTGCGTGCCACAGCATCGCTACACACCTACCACGTGCCGTGTGGTGTCCCTTCTGTGTCCATTTTCGTGCCAATCGCAGAGCTCAGGTATGCAGATCGATGTGTCGTTGGAGAGCAAAGCTGTCTAATATTGCTGAGCAATCGGCAGGAGGCCCGTTGCTCCCGGCACAGCAAAGCGCACGGAACGGAAGCACTGAAGAGGTGTGGTCCTGGTTGTCAATCTTTGCAGCCTGGTTTCTTGGCCGCTGCCTGTGCAGAGACGCTTTGGCACATTTGCTTCAGAAGGCGATTGTGTGTCTCAGATTCTCTGCAGGCAAAGAACCCCTCGACCTCAATGACGAGGTTTGCGTTTTAGATTCACTGCCGTGATGGACATGCGTTAGTGCCGTGCTGACCTGTAGCTTTGTCCTCCGCGAGGAACAAGATATCTGGCTTGCGATTGAGCTGAACGGACACAGCCTGAGCATCTCCTTTCAGCTTCCAGCCGTTCTTGTGGCCGGCGAAGGTTTTGCGGTTGCTGGAGCATCTCCGGGTCTTAAGCTTCGCCGATAGCCTACATGTTACTTGCAGCAGTCGTGTGAGCCGTGCTCTTCTCGTTCGAGGCTCGAAGACGAGTGCGGCTTCGGCTTCAGATGGAAAGCTTTCTGCAGAACGAGCGAAAAAGTCGGGCAGCTGCCGGTGATGTGTGAAGACCGACTTCTGACACATCGAGGGGCCATGGTCTGAATGACAGGAGATTGCTGGTGCAGACTTCGTTGCCAGAAACCTTGGACGGGGAGAAGATGCAGGTCAGGCAGTCACGGTTTTCCACTACGTCGAGGATCGAGCACAAGAGGGCCCAAACTGCAGGCATGTTGGTCCCGGAAGCAGCAATGCCTGAAGGCCTGCTTGCAAGGGAAGTTGCGCATGGGGTAAGAGATTTGTTTTCTGACAATGACAAGCCGAACCGTTTTTGGTCAGTTCTGCTTTCAGTTGAGAAGACAGGCTCCTGTTGCGATTTGCACAGTACCCTTGACAGGTTGTTGGCCCGAAGAAGCCGAGTCAGGCAAGGAATCTGCATTTGCAATTCTTTGCCTTCCTGTCGATGCGACACGTGGATGTAGAGCTGAGAGATTGCTGAGTATGGCTGGTTGTGCAGAAGCTCCTGCAAGCGTGAGATTGCCCACAGGAAGAGTCTATGCTCCTTGATGAGTTGCTTGGCCAGAAGGATCGCGAAACATCGGCATTTCGCTGCTGTGCTCTCTCAGGCTCGATTGACAGCACCTGACCGAAGCGTGCGCCTCATGAAGCAGGTGCCATTCAGCCCGTGGCATGTCGCGAAGCAACGCAGCACTTGCCTTTCAGATCACTTGTACGTACTGGTAAGTGACAATAGCTGGCTCTGCTCTCTTTGGTTTACCACCTCTTCCAGCCAGTTGCTGCCAAAGATGGGCTGGTTTCAAATGCGTAGGACTTAGGACCTCGGACATGTCGCCAGAGCCAAAGCGCCTCCAGCAATGATTCCGCATGCGAAAGAACATGAGCTTTAACTTGTACTCCACCAGACTTCAGCCGACATGCGCGGTCGACCGCAGTGGACCACAATGTAACCTTTGAGGCTCAAGCATGCCTTTCCGAGATGTAGGCCTTCGGCGACGCGGGCCTAGGGGCTGGAAGGACCTCGGGCTTGCGTCGTTCGTGATTTGGCATAAGCTAGAAACAAGACTTCCACTGTACATGCCATGTTAACAGGCCCAATGGCCGCGCTACCTCAGTTGCGTGGCAGCTGCCATCGCGGCATGCGCATTAGCTAGTCTTTCTGCTCCTTGATCGAACTCCGGCAGGGTCGGGCATGTGACAGCTTGTCGAAGCTTCTTGCCATGAGGTAAGGCGGAGTGAGCCGGAATCGTGGAGCTTCAGGCGATTGCAGGTACAGGCGGGACTGGTGTGCCGCGAAGCGTCGCTTGCACGTTGCGTCCCATCGAGGAGGATGACAAGGAAGAGCGCTGTAAGCCAGCACGCAAGCCTGAGGAGCCTCGGCCCACGGCTTTCGGTTCTTGCCATTTGCCATTTGGAGCTGGCATTCGGGTTTTTGGCGCATTCGGCCCTGCAGATCTACGGCGCTCTCTTCAGTTTACCTCCGGCCAGATCCAAAGCGCACAGGGATCGGAAAGTTGAGAACTCCTGGCGCGTTGCCTAGGTAGAAATCAACTTTTGTGGTGAAATCACTATGACCGAGCTCGTGGGCACCAACTCTAAGGTTCACTCTTGTTCTTGTGACTGCGGCATGGCAAGATCTTCAAAATTCAATACATTCGGTCAGGTCAGCAGCATCTCGTTTCTGGCTCTAACGCAGGCTGCCGAGGCTCGTGTTGATGCCAGCAGACATGACAGCAGCAAGCCAATACACGCCCTGCGAAGGTTGTTATGCTCGTGGAAGCGGGTGGCCCCATCTACCAGCTCAATGCGCCCAAGCTATTTGCAAGGTTTGTCTGAATCTGGTTCGCATAACCTTAGCTTCACTACCCGTTGGGCTCCTTGAAATGTATGAATCGAAGAAGCACAGAGCGCAAACAGATTTGGACTCGATGGCAACGTCCTGTGTGGCTCAGGTACTGTCTGATACAAGCCCCCGCGCAAAGTGGGACATAAACCGCCCTCCAGACACAGCCTCAAGACATCTCAGGATGCAAACACAGGCATAGTTGATTGACATTTGTTGATATGATCAGCCTTCAATTCTGCCACAATGTCACACATCTTGCGAGGTTAGAACCTTCGGAGGTAATTCCTGCTTGGACTTCACCCAGTTCTGTGCACGGCTCAGACCTTGCTGTTCAAGTTACTCCTTCGCAGCATGGACGTCTAGAGCATGCTCAGGTGAAGTGGCATCCATAACACCGCTTCTGACTGGGTTTGTTGTGGTGGCAGCCCCAGCAATGGGCGGCCTGCCAAAAGACATGTGGGCACGACTCAAGGTAGACAGGCATCGTTTGCAAGAGTCGGGGCCTCAGAGAACGAGCCTACGCTGCACGGATTCACCCTTGGATGAGGCGCAGTCCACTCGCCTTAGCAAGAGAGGGTATTCTGGCATTGGATTACTGAGCGTCGTGAGCGTGTGCGGCAGCGGACGACTACATGCCATGGTTTGAAGACTATCAAATCTTGACGGTACCTCGCCGCATATCGTGGCACCGCAGAGGGACTTGAAAGCTCAGAAGAGCGTCCATGCGTGTGCCCGTGAGCAGGTTCAATGTGTCCTGGGGCGAGTCTGGCTCTCAAGAGGTTGCCGTCAGCACCTTGGGGAAGATGAACATGGTGCGACCCCTAGCTCCTTTCAGCACTGTGTTTTCTAAATCTCGAGATGTCTCCCTGCAGGAAGCGGTAGAGGGACTTCCCCTCAGAGCCGGCTGCGTCGTTTCCCTGCGATGTCGCACCCGGCATGTCTGCTCGTACAAGGTGATACCGAGCTTAGATTCCCAACTTTTCTGGCTGCGTGCGCTCTGGCAACTAGTTTGAGCATCTGGTTCATGGCTGGTGCATGCAGGTACGAGCCGTACAACTC